ATCTCTCCATATGATTTGAGACCATTGACAATCATTGAAAATCTATCTGTCATAGCTTTGATATCTTCATTTGGTTTCATCCTGAAATTTTCATAGCTATGCGTTAGAATACTAATTTTAGATTTCTTTACCTCATCGGTACCTTCATGAGTGACTTGAAGTTTGTCCCATATTTCTTTGGCGGTTGTACACGATGAAACTCTTTCGTATTCATCTGGTCCAAGAGCACAAAAAATGATATGGATGGCTTTGGAGTTGAGCTGGAACATTCTTGTCTCTCATTCACTCCACAACCTTGGATGAGTGAGAGGTTTGATGTATCCTTTTTCTACAGCATTCCATGCTCCCATGTCACTTGCTTGAATGAAGTACATCATTCTATTCTTCCAATAGGCATAATTATCTCTATTGAAGAAAGGAGGCTTGTTGACGGGCATTGAATCGAGACCGGAGTCGAAGTTTGAAGCGGAGGCCATTGATGACTTTGATAATCGATATAACTCTTCCCGAATCAACTCAAGAGGCGATTAAACCTTCAAATGAGTTAGGCTCTGATGCCAATTGTTGAGTTAATCGATCGACGGAATTAGCCAAGAGGGGGGTGAATTGGCAATTTAAAAATTTGGTGGAAGCTTTTGCAGAAAATTGAAAAGATTTGCACAGCGATTTAGAGTGGTTCGACTTTCTCAATCAAAGTCTACGTCCACTACCTTAGCTATCCACACTAAGGATTTTCCAACAAATTCACTAATTTGTTCTTTCTTTTGAGGCCAAAGAGATAACCTTACAACACCCTCAAGAATATACCCCAATTCTTGAGAACACTCTTTTCCCAAAGAGAAGATTACAAATTTGCAAACTTAAAAGGAAAACCTCACAAGGTAAGATATTTGCACAATTCTAGAACAAGAAAAGAACACTCAAAGATAATTACAAATGAGCAAAAATGGTGTTCTTGAAAGCAAAATGAATATTGAAAGGAAAATTGGCTTGATTTGCACAAACTTGGTGTTTGATGCTTTCTCTCTTGTTTCTCTATGATTTCTTATTGATCAAGGGCTTCAGAACTTGTTTAAATACACCTTGAATCACTTCTGAACATTAGGGATGATTAGTGAAGATCATATAGCCGTTTTAGTGTGAAAACAATTAATAAAACAGTTTGGAGCGTGGGGGGAATCGGTACCCCCTATGGGGAATCGGTTCCCTAAGTGTAAAATTCAAATATTTCGACCGTTGAACAGGGGGGAATCGGTACCCCCTATGGGGGAATCGGTTCGCTCCGAGCATTCTGGAAATCTCGGAGCCAAACCATTCATGGGGGAATCAGTACCCCTTTGGGGAGAATCGGTTCCCTCTGAGCAATCTGGAATTTTTGGCTTTGAAATGGTTCGAAATACTTTGAAAGATTATTTTGAAATTGTTTTAAGATTAAAACTTAATTTTACACTTAAGTAAGGATTAAAAATGATTTTTGAAATATTTTGAGTAATTTTTTGATATTCGAATAATTATATCGAATATACTTAGAAAATCATTTTGGAAAATCTTAAAATTCATTTAACTTAATTTGTTATATCGAAATATCAAAATGTTTTCAACAAAATGTTTAGGTATGAATTGCCCATTATGTTATGATATGAAAAGTCATTTATGTTGATATATTGATATCTTTGATATTCAATAACGTATAATAATTAATGGAAAAACCTATTGCATGTTGCATTGAGAGTCGTAAGTACACTTGGCATGCCAGGAAGTTGAGTAAAGTTCAAGTTAAGTCAAGTTATAGTACATTCGTGTACATTATGTATGGTACCGCTGGTGCATATGATATGTTTTGCACTTGGAGTGCATCTTATGATGATGATTGACACCTTGAAGTGCTTATTGCGCACATTATGTATGACTCATGTGTCTTGCATTCTCATAAATATGCATTGGGCTATGAACTTGAAAATAATCTATAAATCTAAAATTAAGTTATGAATATGAAATAAGATATGGGTCCGAAAATAAATTCTAAATCTGAGAATGAGTTCTGAAATGTGAAAGTACATATTATGAAATGAAATGTGAAAGTGAATATGAAATTAAAAGATGAAAATGGGATACGAAAGTTTTGTATATGAATTAAAAGGAATATGATATGAATATTATGTATGATATTGTTTATCATGCCTTTGATATGACTATTAATATGATATTGTTTATCATGGTTTTGATAAAATCATGAGATTATGATTTTCAAGTCCTTGATGAGGAAAAATGACTTGAATAAATCGGTTTGGATATTTAGTGATTTTATTAGAATTTAAGTTAATGTTTTAAATTGTCATGATATTATTAAGTTTTATATAAGTGAATATGTTGTTAAGTTGTTTGATATTATATCACTTTAGTTTGTTTATAATGCCTCGTTAAGTGTATACATAGCGTGTGATGATTTTCACGCGTAGGTAAAGAAGAGCAAGTGAAGTAAGAAGATGAATGAACATCAATCAATAAAGAAAAAATTACATGTATCAACAATGACATCCTACTATTTTAAATTTTCTAGATGACATGTATACGAATAAGAAAAATTTAAGATATGTTATTATGGATACAAATACGTAATTAAGTTTGTGTTTTAGATAAAAAATATATTTTGACGGAGTAAAGAAATATTTTAAATTAGACAATTTATCTTATGATATGGAACAATATAGAACTATCTAGTTGTTGTTTGAAACTGATGTTGATTTGGAGGCTTAAATACTATAATATGATTTTATTTGATTACATTATTTATTGAAAGGATTAAATAGGATACATTTTTAAAAGTTTAAAATTGTACTGAATTTTCAACCTTAAAATGTATGTAAAGTTATGTGACATCTTTAACCCGTGTTAAGGTATGTATACGGGTTAACGGTGTTACAGGTCTGGTTTCGGCCAACCTGACCCGACCTAAAAATTTCACACCCTCCATCCGACCCGACCTGACATTGACCTAATTTTTTAAGATAAAATCTAAACCCGACCTAACTTGAAATAATAAAATTATATATTTAATTGAAAAAAATAATATTTAGAGGGGGGTATATTGAGGTAAAATTTTTATAAGAGTGGGGTTACCGGTTTAAAGTTAAGCATTCGAAAGTTTTCTTTTGCTTTGGCAGTTTTCTATCTACCTCCTCTACTAAAGAAGATTATCCTCGATTTGATGTTGACCTTAATTCTAAGCTCTCCGATTCATATTTTTTATTTGTCTTTTTTATAAACGTGCAACAATATTTTTTTTAATTGTAAAAACCCCTAATTATGACAAGTCATTTTAATGAATGTGGCAAAAAAAGTTAATATCAATATTAAAAAATATATTTAAAAAAGTAAAATAAATAAAATAATTATAATTAAAAGACTAAATTCACTAAAAACATATACTACAAGGACTACTCATGAAGTAAACCCATAAGTATTGTGCTTTCCTTATCGCCCTACAAACAGCAAAGGAATGAGAAAAATGTAAAAAAAAAAGTTTAAGTTGGTTCTCTGAAATTTTATAAATTTAAATTGACTTTCTCCAGGGACGAAGCCATGTAGGTTCTCAGGGACGAAGCCATGTAGGTTCTCGGGGGCACTTCCTCCATTTTCTATTATTAATTATGCTTTTTTTTCCCTCTTAAACTAAAATTTTGGTTTTATATTGACCCTTTCTAACATAAAATCATACGTCTACCCTAATCTACAGCATCGACAGGAATCGAACCAGATTCCGTGAATGCCCAAGAAGCAGCATTGCTACAATATAATACTCTGTTCCTATCTCTTTTGTTGTTCTTCATGCAATCCGGGGTGGGGGGAACTCTATAGGGTAACCCCAAACCCTATCCTTTTGTGTCCCGGTTGTTAGAGGGGCATATCGGAGAGTAAAGATGGCATCCAATGCTCAATTATTCTGTCTACATTTCGGGTAAAATTCATGTTATGATTAACGCATTCACCTTTGCCTCTTTATTTTGTTTCCAAATTATTATTTTCATGACTGCATTTGTTGATGGTTGGTCGGGTGTGACAATTCACTTATTTTAACCTGGATGGAAAATTTTAAGGATCATGATCTAAATCTAAATTCAATAACATGAATTATTTATAACTTTAAATCTATAAATTAAACACATTTTATGAATTGATGACCTCTTCAAAATATCAATTAAATTAAATTTGATTAATAATTAAATAAGTTTAAATGTATTAAATTCCTTTCTGAAACACACGCCACAACAAAATAGAAAATAGTATAAATAAGGGTAAATTACATGTTTATTCTAAACTTTACTATCTTTCTTATTTTACTCACCGTACTTTTAATTTTTTTAATTTACTCACTGAACTTTAAACATTGAATTTTTTAGGTATGTTTAACACCATTAAATTAAAATTAAAAAAAAATTAAAAGTACAGTGAGTGAAATAAGAGAGAGAGAGTAAAATTCAGTGAGTAAACATGTGACATGTTATATATTATTAAAATAAGCCACGTAAACATCCCGTTATTGAGTAAACGGTCAAGTGATAAAAAAAAATTTAATGTTTAAAGTTTAGTAAGAAAATTGAAAAATTAAAAAATATAATAAATAAAATTTGGTGAGTAAGTGTATAATTTACTCTTATAAATAATATTAACATTATTATTAAATAAAAGTTCCTGCTAGCACTAGCAGTGAGAATCGATAATTGTAAACAGTAAGGACAACCTCTTAAATTTGTTTGTTTTATTATTATTATTTTGAAATTTGAATGTCGATTTTTATCAACTGCGCTTCACCCCCACTGGCCTCTGTCACCCTTCGTCTTGATCAGATGACCTTTTTCTTTGATGGAACCCAGATCGAAGGTTAAAATTTCAATAAAGGCAAATAAATCCAACGGTTCACAGTCTTTATCTTCCAATTCATCCCTTTCCCTTTCATTTCTAGATTTTTCTTCTTGTTGTTGTAATTATTCAACTCACTTTTTAAGCGTTACCCCTTTCTTCTACTGAAGCATCACTGCAAGTTTGTCTCTTCCCCTTGACCTACAAGACTGTAACTTGACAACCGAGAAAGCAAAACAGGGCCATTTTCTTTCCGCCAAAGCAATGGATTCCGTTTTCTTCAACCTTTGTCTCTTGTTTTTCTTCTTTCTCTTCACAACCCAATGTTGTTTCAGGGCAAAAACTGAGCTCAGAGCATTGATGGATGTCAAAGCCGCTTTAGACCCAGACGATAAATATCTTTCTTCATGGACTTTGAAAGGCGAGCCTTGTGATGGTTCTTTCGAAGGCCTAGCGTGTAACGAGGGAGGCCAAGTAGCCAACATTTCTTTGCAAGGGAAAGGCTTGTCTGGCAAAATCTCACCGGCGATTGCCGATCTCAAGCACCTGACGGGTCTTTACTTGCATTACAACGCCTTGTACGGTGATATACCAAGAGAAATAGCTAACTTGACTATGCTCACTGATTTGTATTTGAATATGAATAATCTCTCCGGTCAGATTCCTCCTGAGATTGCTGATATGGGTAGCTTGAAAGGTCAGTTTAGTGCTATTTATGTTTCGTTTTTCATTGTCTTTTGCATGTTTTGAAACATTTTTTTCTTTTGTTGCTTTTCTGTAGTGTTGCAGCTGTGTTATAACCAGTTGACAGGAAGCATACCAGCAAAGTTGGGATCTTTGAAGAGGCTCAATGTTCTTGCTTTGCAGTCTAATCAACTTACCGGTGCAATCCCATCAAGTTTAGGGGATTTGGGTACTTTAATGAGGCTCGATTTGAGTTTCAATAGTCTCTTTGGTTCTATCCCCCTGAAACTAGCTGATGCTCCTATGCTAGAAGTTCTCGACATTCGTAATAATTCACTTTCTGGCAATGTTCCTCTTGGTAAATCATCTGTTTTTCTTGTTCTTGTTTCAACTTTGGGTGATTTTCAGGCATTTGATTTCTTCTTTTTTACTTGTTTGATCTAGCTCTCAAGAGACTGAATGATGGATTCCTGTTTCAAAACAATCTCGGATTATGTGGGTCTGGTTTTCCATCACTGAAACCCTGTAATGTCCCCGGTCAAATTAATCGGAGCTGGCCCGAGGAATATGGGGCAACTGGTCTTTCTAGGGAAATACCAGAGACAGCAAATCTAAGGTTACCTTGTGAGCAAACTCAGTGCTCGAAGCCATCGAAATCTCGAAAGGGTCCTATTCTCGTTGGCCTAATTGTTGTCACGGTTGCATTATCGGCTGTAGGGTTCCTCACTTTTAAACAATATCGTCGCAGAAAACCGAAGCTCGGCAACTCGATAGAGGTTTCTAGTAGCTGCCTTAGTGCTGATCCAGCCAAGGCAGTTTACAGGAAGAACGGCGCACCGCTCGCTGGCCTCGAGTATTCTAATGGTTGGGATCCTTTGGATGGCAGGAATTTCAATGGTTTCGCCCAAGATGTACTTAAGAGCTTTAGGTTCAATTTAGAAGAGGTGGAGACCGCTACTAAGTACTTTTCCGAGGTAAATTTATTGGAGAAGAGTAACTTTTACGCTGCCTATAAAGGGTTCTTGAGGGATGGATCCGCTGCTGTGATTAAAAGGATCAGCAAAACGAACTGCAGATCGGATGAGGCAGAGTTCTTGAAGGGATTGAATGTTTTGTCATCACTGAAGCATGATAATTTGGTCCGATTGAGAGGCTTTTGTTGCTCTAAGGCCCGAGGAGAGTGCTTTCTTGTTTATGATTTCGTCCCCAACGGGAATTTGCTCGGCTATCTCGATCTGAAGGATGGTGATGGCATGGTCCTTGATTGGTCCACAAGGGTTTCCATTGTTAAAGGCATAGCCAAAGGTTGGTCTCTAGTTTTTGGCCTTAATCTATTGCATGGTTAGAGTGTGTTTCCTATTTGCTGCAAGCTAGATTTGTTTGATTGTCTTTGTTTTGGAACAGGGATAGCATACTTGCATGAGTACAAGGTGAACAAGCCGGCCCTCGTTCACCAAAACATTTCGGCCGAGAATGTGCTCATCGATCATCGGTTCAATCCGCTGCTTTCGGATTCTGGCTTGCACAACATCCTGACCATCGACATCGTCTTCGGAGCGCTCAAGGCCAGTGCAGCCATGGGTTACCTAGCTCCCGAATACGCTAACACCGGCCGTTTCACTGAGAAGAGCGACGTTTATGCATTCGGGGTAGTTGTTTTCCAAGTCCTTTCCGGGAAGCAAAAAATCACCAGCTTGGTACATTTGGGAGCCGAATCCTGTTGCAGGTTCCAAGACTTCATTGACCCTAACCTCCACGGTAGGTTCTTCGAGTACGAAGCAACTAAACTAGCGAGACTCGCGTGGCTTTGCACTCACGACTCTCCCATCGAAAGGCCTTCCATGGAAGAAGTGGTCCAAGAATTCAGTAACTGCAGTAGCCGTCTCTAGGTGCAACTGTACGAATGTTTTAAATGGTGATGTTGTTGTCACCAACTACTCATAATGTATGAATGGGGCACGCTGTTATTGTATCCTCTTGCAGAGGGCCACGTCCTGTGGAGTTCTGTGCATTATTGTACGTCCTGTGGAGTTTTGTGCATTATTGTTCTGTACTATCGGAATTTTAAGGTGGTTTTCACACGAGTTCGAATAGGTTCGAAAAATTTTACGACAATGGCAGGTTTTATTCGAACAAAGTTCGGAATCGAAAGTACATGTTTATCGAATGTCCAAGAGACGATAAGAAATCAACATTTATTTCATTATTATCGAAACCTTAATATCAACTAAAATTCATTTCAGTTAAAGGCTTTGGTCCGATATTACTCACTTGAAAGACAGTGAGTTTATTCAAAGTCATCCATTGTTTTCCCACAGCAATCACTTCTCCATTTCCTTTCCTTTTGACTTCAACCACCACATGTATAAGCTTTCCTTTGTTTGCGGTAACCTTTGATTCTAGCTCCACATGTTCCTATGCAGTCATATAATTATTAACAAACATCAGCCAAACATCTTTAATTTGATCAAAACAACACATAAAAAGGAAATTCTTAACTTCAATCTTAGCTGTTGAATAATACGAAACGTTGAAATCGACGGAGCTAATCACACGATTCACAAACGAGAAGATAGTAACGCCTCCGAGGACGTCGAGTAACGATGCTAAAGCTCCGACATGCCAATTTCCATCAACATCCTCCAAGAATAAAATCGAAAATTATTGTTTAGTCTTAGGCAATTTTCATAATGCAAACGAAGAGATTTCGTACCGAGACTCCGTTAGGAACAACTAAATCGAATCGTATAAATCCTTTTCGGCATGGACGACGCAAAGTCCTTTGAGGACTCTGGTATCCAATCCATGGCCTATTTTACCTTGAACAACATCATGAAGCCGTGCTAGGGCTCTCTGCAATGAATCATCTCCCATTCCTTGGACTTCTCCTTTCTGCAATGGGAAAGTGTTGTTCTCTATCTCTCTTTATCACGTTCATAGAACCACTGAAAGGTTATAACTTTTTTGCGACAATTACAATGTTTAATAGTATTATTTTTTGCGATGGCTTAAAGGTTTCTTACTTTATTTTATGATTAAATAATAACTAAATATAATAGTCGAGTACTTAACAAATAAATAGTCGAGTGATCATTTTATAATTTTTAATAATAAAAAAATTTAATAAAAAATACACTATTTTAAATAATCGAGGTCGATTTATGTACTCTACCCTAAATTTTATAACCAAAACGGAATTTAAATTATTTGATGCTAACTTAAAATTTGTACAGTCGATACGATGATAAGTCAACTCCCATTGACAAAGTGAAGGTAAAAATCTAAAGTACTCCTTCTACTACATTTTAGATTTCATTTTACTCCCCCCTGCTTCAAAAACGAGCATTTTGATCCTAGGTTACAAAAAGGAATAAAATTAACACGTATATGAAACTTTTTCTTTAAATTATTACATGAAACCCAGTGTTACTCACGTAAATTAATGATTTTTAACGCATAGAGATAACTTTGCCCGTTTTTTCTAAGAATGGGACTAAAATGCAATTAGATGTATAATATAAGTACTTTTATGGTACTTTTACCCCAAAGTAAAATTACAGAATACATATAAAACGACAGTCTTCCCGATCTCTTCAGTATTTTTCGATCGAGAAAAAGAGATGGGGAATACGTCTTGCATATTCTGTGCATGCGTTGAACAGGCGAATATCGGCGTGGTGGAGCGATTTGGCCGTTTCGAGAAGCTGGCGGAGCCTGGTCTCCACGTATTTAACCCTTGCGTCGGTCAGTATCTGGCCGGCATCCTTTCCACCAGAATCTCCTCCCTCGATGTCCGCATCGAAACCAAAACCAAGGTAAATTAGTTATCCACCAGTTATTCTATTGCACGCTTGATTCCTTTTACGCTATATGAATATGCATAGCTAGCAGAATTGAATTCGATTGATCATAAATTTGTGTTTGATCAGTTTGATGTTTTTTGACGAATTTATGATCAATCGAATTCAAGAGTGTGTGACGAATATACCACAGTTTTACTTCCTGCAGGAGAAGAAAAAGGAATTAAATTTTGAGTTCGTGAAAAGATTTTCGAATTTCATGATTTTTTCTATATCTTTTGTTCGAAGGCTTAGCCTAGACATAGGAGGATGGTGGTATAACGATTTGTAGTTGATATGATTCGAGCTCCAAATCTGTTGAACCTGGCGTTTTAAGAGTGTTTATATGAACCGATTGAGTTAAGCCCTGCTTCGACTTTTATGGAACATATTTGAGCTCGAAATCATCCGTTGCCTTTCAATAGTGAATTTATCTTTTGTTGAATTTACATAATTTATGACAAACCTTTTTATTATAAGTGTGTATGAATCATGATTAGTTAGTACAATACATAAACAAATAGCAATATTATTTAATATTATTAAATTTCTATGCATAAGGTTAAACAAAGAAAACACATTTATAATGACATCAACAATTTTAGTTTGAAAAAAATATTTAAATCTATTATATTTGCACAGAAACACACACACATACAAGGGAATTTGATAAGTTTTGGGACCAAAGCTCCCTTTGGTTCCTAACATGGTTCATCCCTCCATATCCCTGAGTTTTTTTGTTCTATCAGAAGAATCAATGACACGAAGATGAAAATGTCACATTTTGCAGGACAATGTCTTTGTGCAATTGCTTTGCTCTATTCAGTATAGAGTGGTTAAGGCACATGCTGATGATGCATTTTATGAACTGCAAAATCCTGAAGAGCAGATTCGGGCTTACGTGTTTGATGGTAACTTTCTTTGCTCTTCCTATTGCATATCAGCCTATAAATATATTATGTTATTCATCAATAAGTTATTCGCCCCACCTCTCCACCCTTTGGTTTTATTTCTGACATTTCATTTCTTGCGGTAGTGGTTCGAGCTCTAGTTCCTAGAATGAATTTGGATGATCTTTTTGAACAAAAGGGTGAGGTTGCTAAAGCTGTTCTTGAGGAACTTGGGAAGGTAATACGGTGCATCCATTTTCTCCCATTCACTCTCATTTAGCTAATTATTCAAGAATGCTAAAATTATGTGCAGAAGACATGTATTCTTTTGGCTTGCAATTTTGCAGAATATGAATGCCTAAGGGGAACAAGCATTTTGTCTTGTCAAACATGAGATGTGGATGCTACATGATAAAAAAAATTATGACTATCCTTTCTAATTTCACTAGAGCAATTATGTTTCCATCTGAACCTTTAAAAAAAAATCCACCGTCTGTGCTTGCTGTTCAAGGTTTTTCACGCATGCATAGATTCTGAACCCATGTAACAGGTGATGGGAGATTATGGATATAGCATTGAGCACATACTGATGGTTGACATTATACCTGATCCTGCTGTGCGCACAGCAATGAATGAGATAAATGCAGGTAAAGTATACAATTTTGGTTCTTTTGTTTCCTTTTATTTTAGATACAAGCATACTCTTATTGTTAAACAATGCAAATTAATCCCTAAACTCCAGTTTCTGTGAGAAGCATGTAAATGATGTAAACTAGATCATGTTGCCAAGTTAAAAAGACTAAACTTCGCAGTGGTGGTCTTTACTTTTTACAGCTCAAAGACTTCAACTTGCAAGTGTGTACAAAGGTGAAGCCGAGAAAGTGCTCCAAGTTAAAAGGGCGGAAGCCGAAGCCGAATCCAAGTACTTAGGTGGAGTTGGTGTGGCCAGGCAGCGTCAGGCAGTCACAGATGGGTTGAGGAAGAACATATTGGACTTCTCTCACAAGGTGGAAGGCACCTCGGCCAAGGAAGTGATGGATCTTATCATGATCACGCAGTACTTCGACACAATCAAGGACCTTGGCAACTCCTCAAAGAACACCACGGTGTTTATTCCCCACGGACCTGGTCATGTTAGGGATATCGGTAAGCAGATTCGGAGTGGGCTGATGGAGGCATCGAGTGCTCAACTAAATGTCGAATGAATATCAAGTAAATACAAACGAATCTTTGTGTTTAGATTTGTTATACAATGCTTCTACTTTGGTCAGTGGGGCAATAAGTCGAAGATTATTTGCTTTTGATGGACGTATGGCTCAGTAACTCTTCTGGCCATTGACAGACGGTTGCTGATGAAGTTTTGGGTCAATAGCTAGATGGTTTTCCGAACTAAAATTAATATATGTATATATTAAACATTTTTTTTTAAATTAATATATGTGAATTTATACAGGGAGAACAGAGAAAACAAAATAAAGATAGAAAAAAAATAATCACCGTTCGATCAATACAGGGTGATATCGTCGTTAATAAAGATGTTCTCTACTTAAAACGTAGAGAATGAGTTCTAGTCATCAACAAAATATTTAAAAATCCAGTCATTTCAATCAGCCGATTCAGTTAATCGATCGAACTGGCAAAAAATCATTAACTATTTTTTAAAAACTTTTAACTGTTTATTGAACTGATTTTTTTTCGATTTTTTTTAGTCAAACCGAACAAAGTTATGTTGATTCGGTTAACCGATCAAATTAACCAAAATTTTAAATAATATATTATATATTATATATTTTCAGTTAATTCTCTTAATTTGGTTAAAATCGAAACTTAAACACTTCTAAGTCTAAGTAATATATAAATAATATATTAAATATTTAATTTTTTTTGTTAATTCGATTAATTAACTGATTTTGAACTGAATTAACCCATAATTAAAATTTGAAAAACCTATTAACCATAAATCGAAAAACATAAAATTAATCAATTGATTATTTAAAATATTTTTGGCTCGATCGGTTTAATCGGTTAAAACTGATTAATGAACACCATGTCTATGGAGTTCTATTGCAGCAAAGGAAAATGGACCGCAAAGGCCCTTCTTTTCTTTATGCGTAAAAAAGTGTGGGTGAAATACATTTTACTTTTAACTGCCAAGTTAAAATTACAAAATAGATACAGTAAAAAGTCGGCAAAAGCAAGATATGGAAGTCCAATCTAAGCTTTTTAAAGATTTCAACCATAGTGATTTGATAAGATAAGGTGTTATATTAGGCATGTAAAAGAATCGAACACAACGAATGGATGTATGTTTATGTTCGTTTATCTAATAAATAAACAAACATAAACGAAACAAATAAAATTTTTTTTGTTCATGTTCGTTCATTAATGAATATAACTTGTTCATGTTTGTTCATTTAAATGATAAACGAACGAACATAAACGAACAACACAAACACAAAAACCATTTTGTTCATGTTCGTTCATTAAAGAATATAGCTTGTTCATGTTTGTTCATTTAAATGATAAACGAACGAACATAAACGAACATAAGCGAACAACACAAAAACCAAACTTATTCGAACATAACAAATGAATTTAAAAAAAAAAGTAAACAACAAGAATAACAACTTAAAATTCATTAATATAACCTGTAACTTTAGAGTTAATTTGTTCGAATATGACAAAAACATACATAAATCATAAAACAATCTTCTTGAAATCCAAACAACTTCAATAATCTTCGTAACATATTCAACTTACACTCTGTTCGAACATAAATGAACAGACATAAACGAACATATAATCGAACGTTCACGAATGTAAATGAACGAACGAGCCCTTTGTTCGTATTCGTTCATTTAATTAAACGAACGCAAAATCTTGTTCATGTTCGTTCATTTAATAAAATAAACTTAAACGAACTTCCCATCGCACTGTTCATAAACGGTTCACTGAACGTTCAGTTCATTTACACTCGAATAACGTTACAAATTTTAATCTTAACCTTATAAATAAAATTAATAAAATTAATAAAATCGTCTCTAATAATATATATTTTAATATTGAATCTTTAATTTATTACTTAACAAATTCAATGCAAATAATTAATAAAAAATTGAACCACACAAAGTTGAAGTGAAAGAGCTTCGGCCCATGAAACGTGGACCAGCGAGAAAGAACGGTCTCCTTTTGAAATTTTAAAAGTAAAAGTATAAATGAGGTTTAGACGGTACAAGAAAGTGTAATCATGAAATTAGGAGAATATAAATTATTTTGTGTAATGAGTATGTGACTCGTCATTATTAGTAGGTAAATGTAGTTGGGAGATTGGTGGGGCTTTGGACTAATATTAATTAGGGGTGTTCAAAATTCGGTTTTAACCGAATTAATCGATCGAATTGAATTAGTTCGATTAATTCGGTCGGAAAACGGTTAAGGATTTTTTTAGAATTCGGTTAACGGTTAATTCGATTCGAAATCGGTTAATTAACCGAATTAACCGAATTAACCTTTAAATATAATTATATTAAGATGCCCAATCCATTTAAAATCCATTTAAAACCCAAATCAATATTAATTAATTAAAATAATATCAAAACTAAATGCAAAATGTTTGAATCAAATTAATTAGATATTATTTATAATTAGATATTATTTAAATTAATTGTAAATTATTTTTTTAATTAAAAAAATATTAAATTCTAAAATTCTAAAAAAATTTGGTTAATTCGAAAATTAATCGAATTAACCGAAATTTATTCGGTTCGATTAATATTTTCGAAAAAAAGTTCGGTTCGATTAACGGTTAAAGAAAAAAAAAGTTCAGTTAATTCGAAAATGGTAGTTCGGTCGGTTCAGCCACCGGATTAACCGAATGAACACCCCTAATATTAATTGCTTCTAATTTAGAGATATTTAAAATTTGTAATTGATGAAAACATTTTTAATCATGATAATATTCAAATTTTAGATTTGTCAAAACATATATACTTTATAGTTTAAATATGTCAAAAATTTGTATATTGTTTGAAAATTAAAATTTTATTAGTTTTATACGAACTAACTTACTTCAATGAGTAAAAGAATCATTGTTGTTTCTAGAAGTCACGAGTTCGAACACCAGAGACTGTAGCAGAATTATTGAGTGTTCATTATCAAATGGTTAAGAGGTCACCTTAACTTACTAAAAAAATAAAACAATTTATTATAATTTTTAAGAACATAATGTTCTAAAGTTCGATGGTTAAAAGTATTGTTTGAGTGTAGTTTAGGGACCTCGGGTGTAATTTACCCTTTTAAAAACGTTCAACCGGAATAGCGGATTGCCCTGCTACACTTTGCATAATATTTAGCAGCAATTGAAAACGAGAGGATAGAGAGAAGATTAAAGGGGAAAGGGGTCCACAAAGCAATTAACAATGAATAATACAAATCAACATCAACCCCACATTACAATCTTAGATGGATCTGATTCTGCTTCAACTTCAAAAAACAATCAACAACCATACAAGTGGTATGAGAATGTTTAATCATGGTGCAACATGGAAAGTCTCAAGATTCTTGCATAGAAGAAAGGAGGAGGGTCCTCCCCCTGTCTGCCCTGTGCTAAATGACTGTGCTTTTCTTTCCCTTTTATCAAACAAGATTAGCTGGTGAGCAGTCAACACCATTACTTCGCCTTGCCGACAGCTCCGTTGTCCCGCCCCGAAATTCGAATAGTAAAGGCAAACAATTTGGGTTGAGAAACCTACATTTATACTCTGAGATGCACCAAAGGACTCACTTGACTACGTATGAAGGTCGGTAGGTAGACGAGTCTAAGTCCATACCCGAAGAGTGAGTGAGAACGTGTGTGCAGTTCGATTTCCATGGTTTTTCCCATACGAACTATTGGACGATAACATCAACCTATTCGAGGATTTACAGTCCATTGGAATGGTAACCTGCCAGAACTATTGGATGATATATGAAACTACATGAATACCAATAATACCACAAACCTGCCGAGTTAGTCAACAAAGCTCACAGGAACATAGAGCCTACAGAATCAGGTTAAGTTTGTTGCGATATCCCAATCAGTCATCATGTGCCTCATAAAGCCGACAGGCCTCTTTGCTTCTTGTTTGCTCAAAACTTTGTAGCAGCTATTCCAACCGATAACCCTGCAAAAACTTCAATATTCAATCTTGACATTAAAAGTTTGAAAAAAAAATGGGGAGGGGCCCGGCCAGAAAGTAAGAATGTCACCATAATTGGAACGTTTGAACGACAAGCTACCGATAATGATGGGATTAAGCTAGCCAGAATTCAATATACAAATTGATAGACATGTGAAGAGAGAGGAGGAAAAAGGCTATTACTTCTTACTTTTCCACGGCTATGGCGAGAGGCATCCACTCTTTATTGTGGGGTTCACACATTGGCAAAACCAGTCAACCCTTGCTATGCGGTTGAGTCATATCGGCAAGAAGTGCCCTCCAGTTCATCCTAGGTTGACCCTTTTGGGTGAAAACTGAAATCTGATTCACCGCGAGCTCAACTGATCCGAGTGAAGGCATATCTGCATATTGAATCAAGGCCACTTTTTGCAGTAAGCATAGTCCAAACTCATTGTTGTCACTTCTTCCCATCAACAAACAGTCAATATATTATCAGTGATATCAGAAACTGATTCTCCAAGCAATGTGAAAATGGTTGTTGACTTCACTTGGTCGAACATTCAGACAACATAAGTCAGATGACTTACAGCAGTTTATTCCGCAGAAAGAGACTGTATGCTTCATACGTGAAACCTAGGCCTCCGATAAACTCATTCGGTAAAAAGTTCAGTATGCGAATCAAAATGGCTATTAGAAAAAGTATGGATGAACTTATTATGCCTTCACTGTGGACAAAAGAAAATGAAATGATGGTTGGGCAATAAAGTGTTTTTTTCATTCCAATCATGCAATTATGAAATTCTAACAAACATTCTCTGGCTACTACATCACTATCTATGTGTTTCCTGATTTATAATTAGAACATAAGAAAAGATGAACAAAAATAAATAAAAGACGATGAAGAAAGAATTCAATCAAATCCCTAAAGTTTACAATTCTACAAGAGTTAAAAGGAGAAGCATCACACTTATGTCGCATCTGCGAAAACTTCATTGAGGATGTCATCCTCACGGCCAGTCATGAACAGATCTGCATCCTTTTCTTCCTCATTGGAGAAATCCCTCCTGCCAAGCTTTGAATGAGCTGCAACGAATATCATCTTCTGAGCCCTTTCAAGGCCTACCCTTGAGTGTTTATGGACACAAATCCACTTCATCAAAGACCAGTTATGTTTAAACCCGCATGCTGTTGCATGTAGGAAGATAAGCCTAACTGCAACCTTTCCTACTGATTTGTATTCACTAAGACAAGTTTCCCACACCAGCCTCCTGCTCTGGGGGTTAGCAATTTTCATCTTTCCAGTCACAGAGTCTCGCTGTTTAACCTGAACAGCTTGGGCATAGAGTGGCTCTAACCCTTCTGATCTCCATTTCATGAGCTCCATCAGTGCAACATGAGCTTCTTCCTTGGTAAGCAAACGAGTGATGATCTCATCGACATCCTTCTCCTGCTCATGAGTCAAAAACTTGAAAGGTGGAAGGTATTTTCCACTGGTATCACGTATCAAGTAAAGCGGATCAAGTATAAATGCAGCTGACCATGCAGGGTGGTAGTTCTTTCTAAATCTCTTTTCAACAATTTTATAAACGGGAGCTTCTGCAACGTTGAACTTGGTACACCATTCCTTCACTTTGACCCTCAACTCCTCCCAGAGAGGGAGGCATTGCCCAATCAATGGCCTCTCCATCTCAATCTCCTGAGCCATACCTTTGATCAACTTGACCAGTGCATAAACCGCCCCTAAATCATTCCAAAACCCTTCATTTTGGACAATCATGGCAACTTCCCTTGCGACCGGATCCTCAGTACAGATCCCCTTGTAAGAATCGTCCAGTACGACCATCTGAAGAACTTGTGAACAGCTCAATATGTCCTCCAACATCACAAAAGCTTGTGAGATATTGCTGCTGCAATGGCATTTATTGAAAGGAACCCGTATCAACCCAGCACACTCAAGCTCCTGCATCTTATACTTCTGAAACGTGTGTCTAACTAGCAAGTTATTATTTACAAAACTCGCTATCTTTAAGGAATTCTCGGTGACAGTCCTGAAAAGGGGAAGCTCTTTGCTAAAATCCTTTACCAAACTAACAAAACCTTGAAGCTGACAAGATAGATTAACCATCCAATGATTCTGAATCTCCAAATTCCTCAATGCCTTTGCCTTATGATCCGAAACGATCCCTACGCATTTCTGAACACCACTTCCGGATATCCCCATTACTGTCTCCCACAACACCTCCTCGGCGTGCTTGGAAGTCACCGGTCCACTGGTAAAGACCGCCTTCTGGTACAAGCTGCTGCTATTAGGAAGATTAACACCAAATTTAACAAAATTGTCTTCCACACAACTATAGCTGCTGCAACAACAACTTTTACTCTTCCACCCATCAGAAGCAACTTGAAAGAACAATGCATCCCTAATTCTAGCTTCAGAATCAGTTTTGGCCTCATGGAACTTATTATCCAGCCGATCACCCGAGAGGTCCCTTCTCGATATAGCCGGCACCCCAACCTGATTAAGGAAAGCCCGAAACTTTGGGTGCTCAAGGCTAGAAAAGGAAACCGACCCACAAGACTCGTAGAACCACTCGGCTAATAAATCGAGTGCGGAATCCATCTGGCCCTTGCTTAAAGCTGGACCTGGGGAAATTTTAGGACTCTTAAGCTTCTTAACACTGTCTTCCAACATTGCTAAGGCACCCAAATCTTCTTTCCCACCAGATAAAACCAAATGATGCTGAGTCAACCCAGCATTGTTGTTGTTATTACTATGGCTCGAGTAACCCGGAAAACGAGTGGACTCAACTATAGCCAACGAGTTGTTGTTGTTGTTATTATTATTATTATCATCGTTACCGTTATTACTTACTTGGTTGTGTAAAGCAGATATAGCTGCCGCCGGCGGGCTTCGCTTTCGATGATTATGATGATACGAAACAGTAGAAGGCGAAGGCAAGGAGGATATAGGCAAAGGAGATAGCGAGGAACCGCGCCTCAAACCGTAGCTGAAATTGGGGCACGTGCCGCGTTTCAAGTGCTCGGAAGCCGTCCGCGACGGGTTCGAGGCGGAGAAGACGGCGTCGCAGAGGGAACACTTGAGTTTAACGGCTTCGGGGAGGCTGCTCTCCGGGTTCCGAACGAGGATGGGTTCGAGGTGGGCCCAGTACCAGGCGCCCTTGCCCTTGGTGGCCTTGGTTCGAACCGTGACGAGCCCCTGGTAACGCTTGTTGAGGGCTTTGGCAGCCGGGTCTTCCGAGGAAGACGAAGAAGGATCAGTTGGCGGCAGGGACACAGTGGAAGCCATTAGAGAGTTTATGTAATAATAAACAAGGTGGTGAACCGATGGGGTTATCGGGAAACTTGCTATTTGGTGTCTCACTTTCACTTAAGGTTGGTGGTGATGGAAGCTCAAGGACATGGCTTTGAAAGAGATGGAAGAAGAACGAAAGAAACAAAGGGCCTATAAATGCAGAAATGAAGAACAAAGAGAGGGGGTCTGTCTATGCGTATGATTATGATTATAGTTGTGATGTCAAACTATTCACTCATTTATTACTTCAAAAAATAGAATTTAAACATGTCACTCACTGTTATGTCATTTTCAAATCTTATATACTAAAATATTATTTTATTTTCTTCCTTAAAATATTCATTAATCAAAATATTCAATAATATCATCAAATCTTAATTTATATCACATTAATTTAAAAACATATGATACAATTAATTCTAATAATAATAATAATAATAATAATAATAATCGGAAGTGAAACCTCTACTTTTAACAGTAAAATGCACTGGTTATGTTATTGGTGTCTCGTGAATCAATGATTTCATATTAAAAAATGCTTGATGAAAACGCCTCACAATAATAATAATAATAATTGACTTACTTGTTCAGTAATTAGGTTAGGTTAACATTAATTAATATTTCCCTAATTAGCGGTTTATGATTTTTATTATATATAAATACCGATTTAGTCTTAATTTGATTAGTATGATTTCTCTTACAATCTTGAGAAGACATGGATTCAAACAAGTTTAAACACGTGTTATTTTTAGATTTATGATTAAGATGAGATATCAATACATGTTTCAAGTTTTTAAATAAATAAACATTATTTCGATTAAAGTCTTTATATTATACTTAAAAATTTATTTTAGTCTCTCCGTAATAAAATGAAACATTTTAATTTTTTACTGTACATAAAAATTCATTTTGATCCCTCGCCGTTAAAAATGAAATTTTAATTATTACACGTTTAAAATATGTATACTTTGATCTAAAATTTTAAATGCACGTATAGTTGGCTTGTAATTGTAATATTATTGTAAGTAAAAACAACAAAGTTTAGAGTTAGATTATAAAATAGTTTTGCATTTAGATTTATTAAGTGTTTAAGAATCCTTACCTCCCCTCATCCCATTACATATGAGAATATAGTCAGCTAATTTCTTAAGGTATGTAAACAAGTGTTGATATATTGAAAATGTAATATGTTTTCCATGTGATATTTTTTTATAGAAATTCTTAAATTTTATTAAAAATAAAAAATATCCAAAATTACAACGAAGATTTACAAGCATAACTGTAAACTTAAAATATAATTATGACATTTTCCTATTACTGTTGAGACAAAAACTAGCCACCTAAATCAAGGACCAAATAAGAAAAATGTTAAAAAATCTAACAAAAAAACTTGAATAAAATAAAGATAAGTACAAATCTGACTGCATCGGTAAACGAACCATAAAAGGGATGAAGCTACTAAAAGACCATCGATAAATCGCAAATCAGAGTCAAGCGAAGTGAGAAAACTATCCACGAACGTAAAAGGCGTATCTAAATCAATCAAAGGGTCCAAAGAAGGAAAGATCATCATGATAACAAATAAGTGTCATCTTTATTAGTCGTGACAATGCCAAATCCAACCCTGAGAAAAAAGATAAACAAAAACAACGATAAAAAACCGTAAGCTACTAAAATGTAGAGAAAAAACATGTCACAAAAACAGAGATAAACGTGTCATAAAAACAAAAAACATGTCACAAAGACATAATTATTCTTATTAAAAAACTAAAAAAAATAATCGACAGGCGGCAATAATATTGGTTAAATAAAATTAAAGAAAAAAAAATTCTATTGATCAATAAAATTGACACAAATTATAAAAAATAAAAAAAGGGAAATAGTTGTTTCCATGTGATATTAAATTAAAAAATTATCAAATTAATTAATTGTTTTAAAAAAGGGAGATTAAGGATGAAATAACTTTTCTAGTTGTAGTTTCCTTAATAACTTTCCTTAGCATATGTGAATGGGAAGAAAAGGTCAACAAAAAGCAGTATATTTGACAGGATGATAGCTCAATTTTACCTTACAGATGCAAGTATTGTGCTCTACTAGCCCACACCCTCTTCTAAAATTAAGATCATAAAATTTAGAGAGGTTCAAATCATGTCATAAGACATATAAAACAATTAGGGTGCGTTTGGTTCACGGAATGTAAGATTACCAGTGGGAATAAAAGATTATCAGGGAATAGGATTACTGGGAATATTGTATTTTGTGTTTGGTTGGTTTAGCAGGAATGTAAGATTACCGTGTTCGGTTAAAGGAATAAAAGATTATTGGAATGTATATTTGACCAAATTGTCCTTATTATATATTTGTATAATATTACAAATTGTAAAATATTTATATATTTTTCTTTAAAAAATTAAATTCGTAATATTTATATAATTTGTTTTACAAAATTAAAATTATAAAAAATGTTTAATGAAAGGGTAAAAATTTTTTAACCCCTGAACTTCATATAAAATTTTAATTATAGATTTTTTTTGTAAATCTAAAATAATTTAAGGATAAATTTGTAATTTAACCTTCGTAGAATTTTTATTATTCAATGACAGAAGAATGATATTTTTGAAAAAAAATAAAAATTTAAGGGCATTTTAGTCCAAAACGCCGGTAATGTTACAATACCTAAGGAAAGGGAGGTAATGACATTCCCAATAATATACCCCAAAAAATCTACTATTGATAATAAAACATTACCGGGAATGAGATTCCCGGCCAACCAAACATGGGAATGTGGGAATCCCACATTCCTTGAACCAAACACCACCTTAGGGGAAATAAAAACTTTAAAAAATATTAATTATCGAAGGTTCTAACACATTTAATATTTTTCTAGAATGTATTAAAAGAATTTAACAAAATTTAAACCTCACGATGTTATAATAATTTGTTAAGTAAAATTTCAGGGTAAATTATGGGTATAGTATCTAAACTATCAATTTTGATACTTAAACTTTTAATTTTTTTAAAATTATATCTAAAGTATGATTTAAAAGAAATAAAAATTTAGATACTAAAAAGGTCAAAAACTAATAATTTATAAACTAAATGCATAACTTATCCAAAATTTTAATACATTGTGTGGACAAAAGGACCCATTAGAACTAATTGGATCCTTTGCCTTCCCATGATAGTAATTAATATTCCTAATTTGTAAGGTAGAAGTTTCACCCCCTAAAATCTGCAAAATTTTACTCTTTATATTTTCAGTGAATTTCGTACGAATAGAGACGAACGTACAATTTTATGTTTACTCTTTATATTTTCAGTGAATTCCGTACGAATAGAGACGAACGTACAATTTTATGTTAAGATTAAAAAGGTTTACGACATAACATTAAATAATCAATAGAAACATATTTTATGTCATTTGTGGATTGTGTTGCGTAAAGTGAGGGAGGTGAACTAAAAGTACTTTTTCCACCATTATTTTCCACTATCAAGGGTGGGAGAATCATTGAATTTTAGGTGTATATATGTGCACATGTTTTCAATCTTATACAATTTGTTTTTGTAGGGTGAAAATCCAACCACTGAATCTAATTATTTATTGTACTAATATAATATTAAATATAGTACCTTCGGACTGGCTTAATCTTCACGTTATTTAAGTTTGAAAAACGATAATAAAAGTGCAACATGTCCACAATAAAAGGAAAAGGTGACCAAAACTGCTGGGCTTTGGCTTCTAAATCTACAATAATGATTTTTTAGAATTTTGTTCGAGTTTGTGATTCAACCTATATTTGGTTTGGTCTGAAAAGTTTATCGTACGATCTATTCGGTAAAAAAATAAATTAAAAGAAAAATAAGGATATTAATAAATATGGAGACTTTCGATATGATATAGTTTTATTCAACTATGATTGTTATAATCAGACAACTATGTATACACCTAGTGTAATTCTCTTATAATTTATCATAGGTTATAGTTAAATCATTTTTTCTATTTTCGTAATTTTTAAAGAACTTTCATGTAAATATAATATAAAACTTGCATTTAAGCTCGAATTGACGATTAGACTTGCGAAAGGACCAACCATTTGTGCTGGGCTTTTAAAATTTAATTGGGCAATAAATCATTTAGAGTTGGATCACGGTATTTTTGGCCCAATACCATATACGGGTTAGTTATTTAGCTCAATACGACATAAGATTTTTTATTTTAGGAATTACGACATTTGCTAGAGTGACACAAAATTAGTCGTGTCGAGATGATGAATTATAATAAATTTTTTTTTTTTGGAATTTGTCACTCCAACCAGACAAAATTTAATAAACAATATATTTTATTGACACTCATCACCTCGACGCGATGAATTTAAATAAAAATATATTATTTGGATAAACTCATCAACCTAATCTATTAGGCCATTTTTGTCGTTGGATCCAACCAACAGTCCATTAGATCGAAACCCACTCAGCTGAAAGATCAAAATCCAGCCGAAAAGTTAAAGGAAACGATTTAAAAATCCAAAGTTGCTAGGGTTTTGCCCAGGTTTTGAGAACATACAACATGTATTTTCTTCTCGGATTAGCTTGGTTTTGTTCTTTGTTTTCTGCTAAATTCATGTTGATTTTTGGCTCTAAATTCCGAGTATTTTCTTTGCCTTCGTCGTTCATATGATTTTCCCTCCTTTTTGTGGCAGATTTTTACGCTATCGGGCTGCGAGGCAAAGATTTAAGCCTCTTACAAGCTGAGAATAATGTGGAAGATAATGTTGAGGATGATCAAAGCGATGGAGAAGAGTCTGAATCCGAGTCCGAATTGGAGCAAGAAGATGTGAAGTTGGCAGAGCCGTCGAAGACAGCTATATACAATCGAGGAGGCCTCGTCGAGAAACTCGAAGACATCGGCTGGCCGGAGGATGTCGAATGGATGCACTACCTTTCCCTCATTGTCGTAACCGGTTTTCGTCTAGGAACGAATTTTTTATTTGGCAGGAAAAGTGATGTGAATAAATGGTTTTTTAAAAATAATTTGGGAGTCGCCATCGGCCTTTTGGATCAGGTAGGTCGAATACCTAAAAATCATCCTTTAAAAGAGTTTTTAACAAAACATCGATTAAAAGATAAACTGATCTGCG